TTCTTTTATTTTTCTTATATGTACCCATTTCATGTATTCACAACTATGTATACACTTATACTTATTATCTTGTAAACAATTGGCAAATCAAATAAATAAATAAATAGTCCCCTAGGAGTTTGACAACCAGTAGGATACATTCCTTGCACAGGAATAGGAAGCTCTGGAGCAAGGCCCAAGAGACAGTATAAATATATCTCTTTCTCCACTCCATGTGGTCAGCTACTCAGAATCACATGTGCTTGGTGGTTCTGCTTCACCATTAAACCATCCTTCCAAGCAGCCTCCGTGTTTCCAGTGTCTTTCTTCCCACTTGGAACTGAACCCAGATGGACATTTCTTCCAATAATTGCATGATGTGGGTTCCCTCTGAGCTTTTTAACAAGGGGGAAGGGCTCCCCCTCAATATTTTTGGTATACTGAACAAGGTTTACAACTGTCCATGTTTTATACTTTAAGTTCTCTGCCCAGAGTTTTGTAGATAGATACATGGGTGGCATTATAAAGTTGATAAATGAATAGTTAAGGACAATAGTCCAATATGTGCAGATTGGTTGATAGATGTTTTTGGACTTCCCAGTCTAGGGATAGAGAGAAAGACTGGGCCAATATTACCAGCCATTCTAGAATCTGAATCTAATACAGCATCTTACACCTCTACACTCCACTGGCTTTCAGAAACTGTATTACATCAACATAAATGACTAAAAGAATATTAAACCTAGATCTTTCACTTCTAGTCCAATATCTTAATCTGTACACCACACTGACTTTCAGAAGTGTTACAGCAACATAGAGAATTTTGGCCTTTATTTTCCATGTTCTCTCTTTTTTCCTCTCCCTTCCTATCCTCTTTTTCCAGTGAAAGGACAAAAACTCATATTCTCTTCTTTCTGCATATTGAAGCACCTATGTCATTAAAGAGTCTTTTCTAAAATTTCCAGAAAGTGTTTGTGCCCTTTATTGTCAGTAGAGGGAGCTGAAAGTATTTCTAATAAAACCTTTGACATATTTTTTATTTTCCTACATATAAATTTATATTTGTTGACAGGGTAGGGAGGGAAGAAGATAGGGAAGCATGCACACTATCTCTACAGAAGAATCAAAACTCATGCATGTTCAGTTGCTCAAGCACTTGAATGCATGAAACCATGACAAATAGGGTAAGCTTTTTTCATTTACATCCTTCTACCACATTTGCATATGTTCATTTTCAAATTGTTTTATCTTTAATTATAAAAAAAGCTCTCAGATAGATTTATAGGACTTATTTTTACAGCCTATGAATATTTGTTTATGCAATTTGAGGGAATGAACTAGTTTGGCTTAATGGTTAGCACACCAGGCTAGAAAATACGAGTGTGAGTTAAAGTCCCATTTTAGGCATGAAAGCCAACTGGGTGACCTTCAGCCAGCCACTGACTCTGAGCCCAATCCAACTCATAGAGTTGTTGTTGTTGGGAAAATAGAAGGAGGAATGTGTTTTGGTTATGTTCACCACCTTGAATTATTTGTAAAAATAAAGGCAGATACCATATAAATAAATAAAATATGATATTTTATCACTTTTAAAAAATAAATGTATTTTTGCCATCACGCCATAGCATTTGGTTATAGTAGTTCTGAGCTCTGCTGTATATTCTTCAATGGACCAAGATATAGGACTTTCAACTTTTCTACACTCCTATATAAAAGTAAGGGGGGAAGCACAATTTATAGAGGGTGGTGCTTAAGGAAGTGCCAGGTGAAAAGTGACTGCCCTTTTTGTATTAAGGGATTTGGTTTTAACTCTGGCTTCATTAAAATCCTATCTTATGACCTCAGGATGTACATTGTGAACTGGAATTTGCATTGGTTAGGACAGAATTAAGTTGTACTGTTCTGTTCACTACAAGATATTTCTGAAGCGATTGAGACTGGCTAAACATATCAATGGCTTAGGGACAGCCTGCCAGCATGTTATCATTTGAAAGATCTCCCTGAAAGTACAGATATTGTCTGTGTCCAAGCTGTGAAATCCTGTACTCCCATGTACATGTTTATTGAATGTGGACATTCAATAAACAGTTAGGAAGAGCTGGAAAGTGTGAACAGGAAAGCCAAGGAACTCAAGTCTACCACAAGCTGTCTAAATTAATTCATAGCATGATCCTATTTATGTTTACTATCTTAAGGAGGGTTTCCTCTGATATGTACGCAGTATAACGAATGCCTAAAGTAAATATTGCTGTAGGCAATCCCATATTTACAATCTGGAAGATTAACACCAGTATAGATTCATTCTCTAAACTTGCAGAAAGGTCCAATATCTATTTTTATTATTTACTGATTTGAAACAGATGCTGGTCCACACTATAACGCTTCTATCCAGCTAAATATTTCTGTCCTCAATAACAAGCCAAGTTACTCAATTGGGGTGGGGTTATGTTTTTTGCATCCAGTTTCTATCCAAGCTGAGAGCTGCTGAAGTTTTGCTTGCCATGCAGCTGCTAAGACACAGGAATACCACTGGCCAAGTTGTTGGCAGGATGGAACAAATAAGGAAAATAAAAAAGACAAAAGAGACAGAGAAGATATTAGTATGTACTGCAATTAATTTTCACATATTTAAACAAACAGATCAGCTGCATTCAATTCTACAGCATTAATGGCTAATAATCTAGGTCACATTTTAAAAAGTAGAGGATAGAATTTCCCTAATTTGCATTTCGTTATTCTTTCTTCCTGTTGTTGTTGACTTTCTTGTTGCTGCATAGATGTAGTGGAATCGATTACAATCACAGAGGTTCCTATTTATTTTACACAGTGACTGATTTCCCAAAAAGCGGGCTTGGGCCTGGTTGGTAGTGAATGGGAGTCCACTAAGAATTCTAGGACTCTAGGTCAGATTTGGGAAATTAAAAAAAAAAAAACTTGGAAGAAGACAGAGGTAAATCACTTATGTATTTCTGTCAAGAAAATTGCATGTGTATTTCCATATAATGATCTGGTCTGGAGCTCAGAATAAGAATTTTTAATTCATTTTGTATGCTTGTTTTGGCTTCCATGGGAGATGAGGTTGAACACATCTGGAAGATATGAAATTAATTGCTGGAATAAAAGTAATATGAACAAAACAAAGTTGAAGAACTAAGAAATTAGAAACCACTGTATGTTCTCAGCAGAATGAGAACTCAAGCCTGTTAGATCAGCATTGCTAATGGTTGGAGATAATTGGTCTTACAATTCCTCAATATCTGGCAACCACATTTTTCCTAATCATGTTATATGCAGTACAGCTCAGGCTGGCCTTTAGGATTTTACCGAAATGCTGAGAAAGCTCATATTAGAAATATTCAATGCCTTGGATTTGTTTCCAAAAATATGTTCTGTTCAGGAGCATGTATGTAACATTTGTATGCAACTTTTTAAAAACAGCAACCCTTTTCCCAAGGTATCTGCTGCTGATTTTGAGAAGAGACATAGCCCCAAAGCACTTTTAGGGGGAATTGAAGTGCTGCCTAGCTTTAATGAAGAGCATCGTTGAAAACCAATGCTCAGCTTCTTTCTTAATGGGAAGAGTGTTATGCAGTGGGGAAGGGAGCAAGAGAGGATGTCAAAACTAACAAAATGGTGAATGCGTCATCCTGATCTGAGCTCTGCCCTTTTGTATGTGCAGTAACATCAAAGTATGATCAAAGGAGTAGGGCTTGAATTGTGGCTCCCTACCTGACATCTTGCTATTTTTGATATTTCTGCAATATTCCACACCCTGCAGACATTACTGGTGTCATTAAGGTGCTGGAGCAGGAGCATTTATGATTAAGGTGCTGGAACACGTATGGTCAAGTTAGGATACTTTAAATCTATACTTCAGCTATCAATAGACACACAGAAAATAAACCATATTTAGACACAAGAGACAACAAAAAGGTTAAGAAGGAAACAAAAAGGCATTAACACATTCTCTTTAGCAGCCAAGATCCAGAAAAGCAGGGATTAACACCAGACCAGACAAACAATCAAGCACAAAACAACAACCTAATCGAGGAACTACCAAAGAAAAAACCATAATCACACCAATATTGGCAAACTACTGTATAGGAGCAAACCCCACAGTCTCTTGTACTGATGAAATGTTGACAAGCAAGCTCAGAAGCTAGGTTTTTATATTTGAAGTTAATTTGCTTAGTTTACTTCATAACATTATTTGAAAGCTGCCATCATCTACCTCTTCTTGTTTTTATTTTATAAATTCATGCTATGTGTTGCCTTTTAGTATATTAATATTATTCTAAGTCTGCTTTCATGTAGAAGAGACAGGGAGGGGGGAGAGGAAAGATTGGCTGGTTCAGACTATATATTACATGTAAAGTCCCTACTGATTGCACACATAATATTCTAAGCTAAAATGATACATATTTTAAACTGATATGTGAACTTGGTCAGTATGTTCACTTTGCACTCAAAACCACTGAGAGCAGTGAAGCAAGTGCCTTCTGAGAATTTTGTTGTTTATGAAATAGGCTGATGATAATATTACTTGTTAAAGTTTCATCTTTTTTTAAAAAAAGGGAGCACATTTATGTAATTTACATTGTTGCCAGAAAATAGGTGCATGGTTTAAATGTTATTCAGAGTTTAGTGAGTAAACTAATATTAATAGGTCATTATTGTAATTAGCTGAGAAGTGATTTACTCCGAGTTTTGTCTATTCCTGGAAAAGGGAGTAACTTTGGCAGGCACAATTTGAAGGACTTTCAGAATTTCAAAATGGCTATCTTGGGGAAAGAACAAAATGTTCTGAGTGTGTTATGACCACAGTGTTTTTGGTCTAATCACATAGGTCTACTCCGGTCATATATTTTTTTTCTGTTCAGATACAGTCTCTGCATTTTTGTAGGGACACAAAATGTGTGTATTTTCTAATTATGTCACATAAAAACTTTACCAAGGGAGCCCACAAATGGCTGCAGTTATATGTTCTTATGCAATACAAATGTGGGTTTGCATAATATCTGAAGTAGTCTATGGTTTCAATCAAAATGTATAAAGCATTGGCAGAAATATAGATTTGCCTCAGACAAGAAGGCTGCAATCATTCTAACCACTTATCAGAGGGAATTACTTACACTCATAGGCTTCTGCTATAAGCTGTCAGATGAATGGATTCAATCATGTAATTGCCCATATAATAAGTACTGAATACTTGAAATAGGGAAGCAAAATAAGGGAGGTGCAGTGGAACCTACGGAATTCCTCATTGGCTATTGAGCTGTGGTGGTACAGTGGTTAGAATGCAGTATTGCAGGCTAACTCTGCCAACTGCCAGCAATTTAATCCTGACAGGCTCAAGGTTGACTCAGCTTTCCATCCTTCAAAATGAGAAGCCAGATTGTTAGGGGAAATACAGATATAGATACAGATGAACAGAGTTGGAAGGGACCTTGCAGGTCATCTAGTCCAACCCCCTTGCCCAAGCAGGAGACCCTACGCCATTTCTGACAGATACAATTAGATACAGCTGAACAGAGTTGGAAGGCTGACGTTGTAAACCACTTAGAGAGGATTGTAAAGCACTGTGAAATGGCATATAAGTCTAAGCGCTATTTCTCTTGCTATTCACACATTTTTGTGGAGTTTTTTTAAAAAATAAATTTTATTGAATAAACGTTAAAAACAATTGAACACTGTGCGACTTTCTTGGCCATCATTTTGGCCATACAAGCTATAGTATAGAGATACATATGACAGTTAATTTCCTTTTTCCCTTATGTTATTAGTATAGTGCTAGCTGCATATTATTTCTATGTACATTTATCTGCAATTATATACATATTTACAACCATCTTTTATACTCATGCATTCGTATCATCTCATTTTATCATCTCATCGTCCATTATATTCCATTCTGTTTGGTTTACAAAACTTTAACTTTCATTCCTACAAAGCGTCAACAATTTCTTTCTTTTTCCTTGACTCTAGCCATTGATACATTTTACTCATTTTTGTGGAGTTTTTGGTTTCTGTAATGCGTGGACATCAACTATTTTATTTTAATTTTATATCTGTTTCTCAAGTAGAATTATTTTGCAGTAAAGTTAAATACATTATTGATTAATGGTGCATCATATGCTAATTTTCATTTTGAAATCTATATAAACTTAATACTGTACATCAGTATATAAAAAGGTTTCAGTTAGTCAACAGGTCCTCATACAACACTCATGACATTCGTGAGACCATGAATAAACCTATGCTTTCTGAAAATGTTTCCTTGAAATTATGATTTGCCACTGGGCCTCTCTTAATTCCAGAACCAACCTGAGAAATTAAAAATGACTGGACAATGCTTACTTGCAGGGTAGAATTGATGGTCAAAATAATGAAGCCCCCTGTATTATTGTATGATATCATACCAGGGGGCTTCATTATATATATCATTTTGTGTGTGTGTGTGTGTGTGTTTTGGATGAGAGTTCAAAGTCCACACATCTCAGGGTATCCAGCTGAGGCAAGCAATTTGGTCATTAGGATTGTGTACAAATAGAAAACTGGAACAGATTTATGGTTAAAAAGTGCTATTCACAAGCTATACATGTCTTATTGTCAATACATATATACTACACTATAGCTAACAATGAAAATTACTGAGGAGGAATGTCTTTAAAATTCTGTTGTTCTATTCTGGGGTTTGCGTTATCAGGGCTTTATTTTGAAGCCGAACAAGGTAATTAACACCACCCTTTTCATACAATGATGGTTTTTCACCCTAATGGGATGGTTGTTTTTGCCCCTAGCAAAGCTAAATGAATAAATAAAACAGGAAACCCCAGATAAAACAAAGTTTGTCGGGAAATAATAAGCTATGACCTGATGTGGTTTTCATGTTGTATTGGGCATATTCAGTGGTGTTTGAGGCATTATTAACATTTTGCATTTTGTGCAAATACAATTTACTGATTGCGGATAGAAAGTTGAGCAACTGCCTGGCAAGCTGGCACCAAGATGAGTATAGCCAGCCCACAAATTATACATATCAGTGGCCAAGATCTCAAAGGCGTAGGGTCATGCATCCTCGCTAAATCACATTAAGGTTTACACTGAGTGCAATGTGTGAACACAAATATTTGGAGATCAGCTAAGCAACCAGGATGGCAGCATATCATAGTGAAAATCCCTTTGCTGCTATAGCAGATAAAAAAGGAAGTTGCTTTTCTTCCTGTGTTCCTTTGGCAGTGATATTTATATTTCAATAATTTTGGAATAAAATCAGATAGCAATAGTCTGCCTATAAATCTGCTGTAGCTGGAGATGCTTTCAGCAGATGAATAAGAAGTAAGAAGTCGAGGAGAATCTGAGGCTGCCTTGCACACCAGATGAACTATAAATTAATGTGTGACCTGTTAGAGACTCTCCAAGCAGAATCTGGCATCCAGTTCTGCAGAGCATAATTTATGACAGCAAGCTTGGTTTCTGTCTTAACAAACTATCCAAGAAATTTGAAATAGAGGTATACTGAAGAACACTGGTGTCAAAGCAAATACAGTAAAAAATACTTTCTGCACTTCTGCTGCCACCCAGTGGCAAGTGTGTGTAGGAAATGCAAAATGATATGGCAAAGCACAGCAACAAAACCAAAACTAACAATGCTTTCCTTTTTTTTTAACGACTAAATAAATAGCACATAAAAGATGTAAAAATAAAAAGAATTAGAGCATGTGCCCAAAGCAAAGCTGGCTGAGGAACTCTGGGAGTTGAAGTTGACAAGTCTTTAAAGTTGCCAAGGTTGGAGACCCCTGATCTAGAGAAACAAGGGGAAGAGAAGGCACGGGGACAACCCTCTCAGTGTCAAAAAGGGAATGTAACAGGAAAGGGTTAGAAAATAAGTTATTGTCAGCATGTAATGCAAGATATCCCTGTCCTCCCCTTTCATCTCCCAGCTCTGTCAAGGGAATGTCCCAATGATTCAGCTGCTTCTGCTGCTGTTCCTGTTCCTTGGACCATTTTGTTCACCTGCACCACGACTCTCGGTATGTAGAAGCCGGATACGTGTGATGAGTTTTCTACTAACACCAAGAAAAGAATCCTGAGTGGCTGTAAAATAGCTGAATATTTGGAAATTATCTCAATTCAAAGAGAGTTAGCTTTGTGGTTTGGTCAACGTTGAAGCCATAGCCTATACATTTAAATCTAAATATATAATGAGCACACCTGTCTTTCACTTGTTGAATAATGAGCAATTCTCTGTTGCAGTGTATAAAAGGCTTCAGCCTGCTCCCTTTTTCAATCATGCTGTCTTCAATATGAAAAGGTCCTACATGGTTATGGGCTAGCAGACACAAGTTTGCACGGACACACACACACACACACACATACTATGGCCTAATCCTACTGGCATCCTATTGCTGAATAATCATAACTACCATAGATTGAACAAATATACAACCAAGGCTGAGGATCATGTTAGGAACCTTTAACTTACTCTAAATATAAAGTTAAAAATAGATGTGTTCTTCAGGCAAATATTTTTCCCCTTACTTTCAGAAAAAGGAAGAATGCCTCTTAGAAAACAGCAAACTACAGAAGAAGTTGAAAATGCTTCAAGATTTATTCCAGTTATACGAATTTCAGTTGAAAGACTTGCTGGGGAACAACTATCACAGAAGGAAAAGCAAAGTTTTCTCTGCCAGGAAGACGGTACCTCTGGATATGTTTTTGCCCACAACTAGTGGAAATCTCTTAGTCTATGATCAAGGTACACTATTTAGGGGACACATCTGTCTTTCTTGAGGATTACCTTATAAGGATAGCCTTCTGTAGACGCTTGGTTTTCAGGCGTATTATGACAGTTAGAACAATCAGTGGAACGACATGCCTTCAAAACTTGTGGTGCTTCAACACTAGAGGTTTTGAAGAAGAGACTGGACAACTATTTGTCTGAAATGGCATGGGGCCGTGATGGCGAACCTATGGCACGTGTGCCACAGGTGGCACACAGAGCCATTTGTGCCGGCATGCGAGCTGCAGGCAAACTTACCTCACTGTGCATGCGCACGCCTCACAGCTGATATTTGGCTGGTTTGAGGCCTTTTTCGGCCCCCCAGAGGTTTGAGGAAGACCAAAAACTAGGCCCGTTTCATCACTTCCAGTTCCGATTGCGAGCACATGCGTAGGGGGCGCATTGCCTTCTGGGTGCTGGCCCGCAAGCATGAGCGCGCAAGCGCACACAATTTTTGGCACAGGAGCCTAAAAAGGTTAGTCACCACTGGTATAGGATTTCCTACTTGAGCATGGAGTTGGACCACAAGACCTCCAAGGTCCTTTCCAACCATTATTCTATGATTTTGTTATTCTGTTCCAAACATCCTAGGAGCCATATTTCCTGGAGAAGTGGGGATTTGTAGTCCAAAATGCCTGGAGAGCAATTAATTGGGGATGGCTATATTGATTAGCAGGAACCCAAATGATTTGCAGCAAACATTAGAAAAATTGTATGATGCGGATGAGGAGTATGGCTTTAGAAATTAATGTAACAAGGCATATGCAGTTATAGTTCACAAGGAAAATGGAATATACAGTCATACCTCTCCTTCAAAACTTGTCAAATCTGATGCATTTTGAAGCAGAAATCTTGTCCTGGTGCTCATCTTTCTCCTGGTAGTCGACATGCAAGGAGGAACTGGCTGATGTCCGGCTGCTTCGTAACTCTCTATTTCTAAACTTGAAGACTTCCAAGGTCCCTTCCAACTCTGTTATTCTATTCTATTATTCTAGCCAAAATAGTGGGTCATGTGGTGAGTCACACAGTTTTCTCGGTACCTGTTGGTTTTAGTATTCAACTTGTCTTCCAGAATGAATTGCTGATGAGGACTGAGGTACCATTGGATGACTGAAAAGTTTAATTTATATACATTGACAAAACATTTACTAAAGATGGGAAAATGAGAGATTTTAAGCAGTATAAATCTTGATAGAAAGGTGGCAAGTAGTACTATGTAATCTGTTGCAAGAAAATAATGCTTGTTAAAGAAACAAAAAAGCTTGTATAAGAGTGAAATTCTGCCTATATCATGAGTGTTGGATAGGTCTTAAGAAACATAAAAGCAAGCTAAATGCAACAAGAATGGATAGTGCAAGAAATGAATATGGTGAGGCCAAATATAAGATCAAGAGTGGTTGGTGAATGAATGTGGATCAAGTACAAAAGGGAGAGTGACCAGTCTGAAAGAAGTATGTTGAGGTGGTTTTGACTGATAGAACGAACGAGGATCTTCTAATAACTAAAGGAATACACTATATGAAAACAAGATAAATAGTTTGAGATAAAGACTCAGTAAAGTGGTTGTTGGGTCCAATGGATGAAATTTTCAAAAAAGGGAAGTGGAAAGTTTAGTAGGCAGTATATAGAAGCTAAGTATGGATGTGGCAGAAGGAAGAATGGTTTAAAAGGATAGAAAAATATTGTGAGTGCTCTAAATGTAAACTATATTTAGTTAGTTCTTTGCTTCCATTTGTTTATACTTTGCAAAACTTTGCTTACCTGGAAATGTAATCGTACAAGAGATGTTTATTACTGGCGGTTGCTCTGAATCTAGCGAAACTTGCCACTGAGAAGGCATGTAGAAAGACAGCTTCTTCAAATTATGTCTTGATAACTTGAGAATTTGGGGGAAAGACTATGCAATTGTTTGTTTTAGAAGGATCGTTTTTCAAAAAAGGGGTCTATCCACTTTAACATTGGCTCTATCACAGCGGAAGTATGGCTTTTGAAATCTTTCCCAAAATGGGACTGAAAAAATTCTGTGTCTCTGACCTTATTAATAAATTTAAATAACTATGATTTATCTGTGTCTACACCAGAATTAGGATTGGTATTTGAGCAAATGGGGTATACAAAACAAATTAGTGTTCGGGTTCCTCTTTCACAAAATCTAATTATTTATAGCTTTTAATAAAGTATAGTCAATCTTTTTGAGAGCATGAGCTAGACTTTTAAACTGTTTCAAATTTCAATGTCTATGGAGATTCTCAATCATCCAGGTGATGGTTGTCCCAAAG